ACACACACACACACACACACACATACTACATGGTTGGTTATGTCGTGCCATTTGCCCCGTCAGTGTAGTTCATCATCTGGAGGTGGCGGTGATCTTCCTTTGCTCGATGGTGAGATCCGTCACCGACCTACACGTTGCCTAGCTAGGTTTTCCCCAACCAGGTATCTCCCGCCAGCAGGGCACCGTCCCTCCCTGGACGGGCTGTAAGCTCCCGAGTGATCTCCCGATGTGTGTTGGTGTAGTGCATGCAGTAATTGCACATCACACACACAACATGCTCTTCGTGTAGCACACAAACACTTGCATCCCACACATCCAAAGGGAGGATATTGGTGAAGTTCCAATTAATTTTTTCAATGCCAAGAATTTGACTTCTTCATTATACAACTCCATTACAAATGAATTTATTTCGTCGGAAGTCAAGAGTGAATGGTATTGATCGATTCACACGCTACGCTTCTTGGATCTGACAACCACATTTCACCTGGCACTTTTGGCAATATTTGGGGAAAATTTGATATAATTAATTTTTCGTCTAGAAAGTGAAAGAAGACCAATCGTCTGGCAACATGTTGTTCGACAACGAAATGTATCATCAGCCCTGTTTCAAACGTATCTTCTCGTTTTATCTTTGGTTGTTTGTAATTCCGAAGGTAAGAAGAATAATTATTGCACATTTGGTCTTGTTGCTTTCTGTTTTTAATATCTTCCACCAATTTCGAATCATGTGAAAACAGATAAGACAGGAAGAAGTTGAATATTTGTCGTTTTTCTGATTGACTTCATGACGAACAAATTTCTCCAGCGTGTCACCTACAACACACAAGGTGGTTTAATTCTATTACGTATTTATTACTAGGAAAGAATTACTCTGTCAGTCTGAGATAAGTTCTGAGAAGAGCAGTATCGTTTGTAAACCACACAAACCAGCAGAATGAATAAACATGAACTCACCGATGTACAGAAAGCTGTATCTCTCACTTGGAAGTATACTGAAAGGCATGATGGGGAGCATTGCTTTCTACTTACTTAATCTTTCAGGTAGGTGCTCTGTCCTAGGGCGGTACTTCCCACTTTCTCTTTCGTACTATCCCCCACACTTACAATAAAAATGGTTAATTTCTTTATTGGCTGTTGTTAATAGAGCAGAACTATAACCTAAGAAAATTTGAACAATTTCCAAAACGAATATCCGTTGTGCTGCAAAGAGTTAGAACTGGTGGTCAAAACTGACACCTCAAACAGATAAACATTATAAGTACATAAAATTAATTTGCTTATTGCATCTGTTACTTTATATCAAAGGCCCACCCATTGTTTTCTCGGAGGAGGGGGGTATGCGAAAGGTATAGTGTCTATCCGGCTTGATGTTCTCTTATAAGGAATTTTTCATTTATGCTGAATACAAAATATATTTTTATTTGTTGACTAATGGTTAAAATTTAACCCTAAGCAATTGATATATTGAACGACATTCGTTAGTATAGAAAACTAGAAAATGTATATTTTTGTGAGTGTCAATGTCTTCTGGAGGAGGGCTGCAGGGGTGAGGGTTGGGGGCGGTGTGCTAGTTGTTTACATGCACCTGGTGAGCAGGGGTGGGCGCCTGAGCGAAGCGCGTGGTGCGCAGGAGTCGCCGTGCGCGTTGTGGGCGCTGCCGACGC